ATTGTAAGCAGAGTTTCTATAGCTCACAGTAATTAGCCCCCTATTCTACTTAGCCAGGCATTTTTAGTTCATGTGTTAAAGTGTTACTAAACTCAGGACCCTGCATTCACTATATCTCCCACAGTACAGAGAACATGGAAATGCAATTATTTTAGTAAATATAAATTGTTAAATACCTTTTCTCATCAGCAGTATATAGCAGTCTTGTGACTATCAGTGTCCAGCAGAGCACTGGTTAAAGCTTGTAGGAGGAGTTTTCATTCTCCCCAGATTGTCCTATGAGGCTGCTGGACCCCTGACCCTCTGTGTGGACAGCTCTGATTGGCCCTGATCACATGCACCCTCCCAAGAAACAAAAAAAAAAAAAAAAAAACTCTAGCAATACTCACCAAAAAAAAGCATGTGCAGCCTTCCCCCAGGCTCTGTTCTATTAGCAGATGGATCGAGGATATTAGAAGGGGAGGAGCAGAGAAGACAGGATCAAGCATCCTTTTTACACAATGCAGAGGGTTAACCCCGTAGGTTCCACAGTGAGTATAACAAGCATGCTTTACTGCATATACAGACTGATTTTACTGTTGTGGGTTTAGTAACACTTTAAGGAGGAATGTTCAGTAATTGATAGCAGCCAATCAGCAATCATCTCTCAAAGCCTGAAGATGATACACCAGATCTCTGCTTCCCTGTTAAAATGATCATTTCCTGGCTGTGCGCTATGGATCACTGATTCAAAGTTCAGAAGCTGCTGGATCAGCATAACAGGCAAGTAATTGGCAAAAAATGGCTGCTTGCACATTCCTTTGAAACAACTGCATTTGTTATTGAACTGGTAGCATTTAGTACTGATATTTCGGGTGCTGAAAAGTCAAGTCCAGCATTTTAGGGGACTTATATGCTTAGATATTATTTTTTAGTTGGTTATAACTGAATTCCATTCAGATAAAAACTTGATAAAAGACGACTACAACGCGGTTGTCCAATTCTGGGAGGGTGTCATATGACATCCTCCCAGAACACGCCCCACGCGGTGTGCACCTGGTGCTGTCTGTGAATCCTACGGACACAGCTGATCACATGATTAGGCAAAAGGCCAATCAGAGCGGACTTTTACCGTGTGATCAGCTGTGTCCAATGACACAAAAGATCACCAAGTAAATACAGTTGCCGGTTAGCACTTTCCTCACGTTCTCACACTCTGCCCCAAATTACATCACCAATCTTGTCTCCAAATATCACCCAAACTGTCTTCTCTGCTCCTCCCACAACCTCCAGCTCTCTAGCTCCCTTGTCTCCTCCTCCCATGTTCGTCTTCAGGACTTCTCCAGAGCCTCCCCATCTTCTGGAACTCTCTCCTCTAGACAGTTATAAAGCTGGGAGATTCTGACAATCAGGTATACCTATCATGATTTGAGAAGCCTAGTCTTTATCCCTGGTGAATGCACATTTGTGGTTGGAACTGTTGATGTTCTGTTGATAAGTAACCACACACTGATCAAATAACTGGCCTAAACTGAAGTGTGAACGGGGCCGAGCTCCCAGACACTGGACTCCTCCACTGTCAATGCTAACTGAAAAAAACTTTGATAAGTTATTGTTAGCAATGTGAGCTTTGGAAACCACAAAAACATTGCTGGTTTCAGTATGTATTCCCTTTTTAAATGTATAAAAGCATTTCATACTGTGAGGATCAAAGGTGAACTATAGGCAACACCAAAACAGAAATGTTATGTTGCAGTCTTTCACTGTCATTAGCACAGCAGTTTTTGATTCCTCCTCCCCTCTGCGACATAGTTTCATTAACTGTCGATTCTTCCAGCAGATCTAATATTTTTCCACTTCCTAACAGGGTGACAAACCTGTTCATTCTGCAGTTAAATTGCACAGCAGTGTTGTCCCACTATGGACAGAGTAGACTTACCCCCCCGGTCACATCAGGTAAGATTTGCATGCCAGGCGACTTGCAAATCGTATGTCAAGTCGCACCCAATTGTCCACTATTAGAGCGGTCATATCTGTGCGGTTCAGACTTGGTCGGAGTCGCACTGATTTCTAAAGCAGTGCATGCACTACTTTTGTTGCGATTTGCATAGACCTCTGTGTCAGATGTTTTGCAAATTGCAATTAAGTCGGCAGGTCACCTGATTTTGAAATAGTGTGACTTCAATGTAAGTTGCACGATTTCAAAAATCGGCTTTGATGTGAGCGGGGTGTAAGATGGACATTTAGTTTAAAGGAAAAGGTTAGACAAAGCTTTTTGGTCATATTTTTCTTGTGGGTCACAGGAGTACATTTACTTTTGTTCTTCTATGACCTAGAGTCAGCTGACAGCAGGCTATTCCCCGCCATCCGCTGCAGGAACAGAGTGACTGCAGGCTCTGCAAGAATCTCCACAAATTTGTTGGGATCCACCAAGCTGCCTGTTTGACAGTTGGCTCCACCTCCAGCTTGCAGCTGAGTGCCGGAGTTAGCTAGTGAGCACTGACGGAGCAGAGCAGAGAGGGGTGACTGACAGTCTCTGCTCTCCACTCAGTGGAGACTGAGAACAGTCATGTGATCACTCAGGTCGCAGTCATAGAACTGACACGAGACAGCTGCAACATTCCACTGATAATGCAGCACAAATGCGAGTATGGATGGCTGTTTTTTTTTTTTTTAATATCCCCATGCTTCTCTTTTATAGGGGCATAAGAAATTGGCAAATCAAAGCCCAATATTTTAAGCAGGACATCCCAACTCTGTCTCAGCCAGTTAGTGCAAGCTCTGTATTGATTCATTGAAGCATGTATTCACTTATTAACTGAGGTTACAAACAGTTTATACAATTCCAAACAAACTCATTAAAGAGGCTGTAAATCTCAGACATGAAACAAAACATTTCCCTCTATAGTATGTACTTGTCTCAGTTGAGAGCACCAGGTGCCATTTCTGTCTGCTGCCACTTCCATGGGGTTTTCCTAACATCGAGAGAAAAAAGGTGACAGGGGAGGGGCCTTCATCTGATTGACAGCCTCAGCTCTTTTCTCTTTGAGCTGTGTGACAGGGGTGTGTCCCTTCCCTCCAATTAGCTCTCAGCTGTCTCATTGAGCTCTGCAGAATATAACATCAGCTCCCCGCCCCCTGCTTCTTGGAAGCTCAGACAAGCTGTACATGTTCTGCACTTTGAACTGTTGTAGAGGAGAGAGGGAGACAGATAAACAGGTACAACTTATGTGGGAGGATTTGCTTCATCTCTGTGTATCACCTGATGCTGGTCACTTCACAACCACTCTAGAGGTAAATGAAACATGGACATCAGCTCCAAATCAACACCAGCAGAAGAATATTTTCCTTGCAGAGGAATTATTTATTGTAAATTATTTGACAACTCGTTTGAATCTCTTGCAAGCCTCATATGCATCCACAACTTTTTTCTGAAGGCCTTAGACAGCTCTATTAATCTTTGCATGATGACATCACAGATGTCAAAAGGTAAGAGAGCACAGACCCAAGATGTATAGGTTTAATAAGACAGGTCCACCAGCGTACTCTCTAAGGAGGCTCTAATCATTGGCACCTCATCAAAAGCACCTGATTCCTATTTTATGGATTTGAAGTGGTGGTAAAATTAACTTACTCTTTTCATATGAAAAAGCTAGTTTTGTTAACCACTCACTTACCGGGCACTTTTACCTCTTTGTGCCCAGGCCAAGTTTCAGCTTTCAGCGCTGTCGCACTTTGAATGAAAATTGCACGGTCATGAAGCACTGTACCATATGAAATTTCTATCATTTGTTTTCCACAAATGGAGCTTTCTTTTGGTGGTATTTAACCACTAGGGGACCGCCTACAGTACATATACTGCGGCAAAACGGCCCTTGTGTGCAGGATCACATTTATAAACGTCATCCTGTTTACTTGGTAGAAGGCACGCGTGAGGCGCGCGACCGTGGCCACGGGTGTCAATCACCGGGTCCCAGACAGCGATTACCTGCCGAAGCCTGACGATTGCTGGTAAACACTTACAGGAAGGAAGGCTGCATTGTTTTCAATGCAGCTCTGCTCCCTGTCAGTTTTCAGCACACAGTGACCCCAAGTCAGTTCCCCCCCAGTGTTAAAATGTCAGCCGCAGTCCCGTCATAAGTTGCTGATCGCCACCATAAGTCGGTGATTGCTGCTATTAGTATATTAAAAAAATCCAGTATCTATACCACCATTTGTTAAAGCTATAACTTTTCACGTTAATTTACACATATTGGGATTTTTTTTTTTTTAACAAAGACATGTAGCAGAATACATTTTGGAAGAAATTTATGACAAAATTTGATTTTTACATTATTTTACTGGACATGTTTTATAGCAAAAAGTCCAAAATATTTTTGTTCTCAAAATGGTCACTCTTTATTTATAGCACAAAAAATAAAAAACGCAAAGGTGATCAAATACCACTGAAAGAAATTTGTGGGGAAAAAAGGGCGTAAATTTCATTTTGGTGCAGCGTTGCATGATCGCGCAATTGTCAGTTAAAGTAATGTAGCGCCGTAATACAATCCGCTTCTGTAACCGCTTCCTGACCGCCCTATAGCAGAAATACTGCTACAGGGTGGCACGGGTGCGCAAAATCACATATGTATACGTGAGTCGCGCTGCCATGGTTTTCACACCCCTCCCAGATGGCGTCAGATTGTCTGTCAGTACACCAGTCCACATTTAACCCCTTGATTGCCAGGAGCACGCTCACACAATACACCTCCATTGCTAGTATGGTGTCTGAACGGATCAACATCTTTGATAAGATCAGCACTATACCAGCGTTCACATTAGTATAGTGTCCCCAAAAACAAAGCGTTAGCGGGATCAGCCCTGGCACCTGCCAGTACCTGCGTTTAGCCTCTACGCTTACCCCCCCCTTCTACCCCAGCAAGTGCAGTGTCAGTAGGTCACTCTCACTTGATACATTGTACACAAAACCTCAATGTTTGCAGAATCAGGCCTGATCTCTGTTAGCACTGGCCGGTAAATTTTAATGACTCTCATATGCAGCAGAGTGCCAGTACTAGTGCCACGCTACCTTTTGGTGAACTGGCAAGCACTAGTGGCCTAGTACATCCTGGTCTTTCACATATCTCTTAGATTGTAAGCTCCCAGGATCAGGGCCCTCCTAACCCTCTTGTATTGAACTGTATTGTTGCTGTATTGTCTCCCGTTATATTGTACAGTGCTGAGCAAACTGTTGGTGCTATATAAATCCTGTATAATAATAATAATACCAGCACTGCAGTATCATTTGGTGGCATGGCGAGCCCCATAAGTGTAGTACAAGCTGGTGCGGTGGCAATCACAAGCAGTGTCCCACAGCCACCAAGAATTCACACACAGGCCCGTAGAGCCCTTGTACCCTTCCGGATGTGCTTGCAAATCCCGATTGGCAACTCACAAATTCTGCAGCACCCATACTTCCCCCATTCACTGACCAACCCAGAAATCAGGTGGAAACAGCAAATTTAACTGAATAAATATATACCCTCCTCCTTTACAAACCCTCAAAAAGTCATACTTCCTCCCTATAAAGTGCATTTATATATATATATATATATATATATATATATATATATATATATATATACATACATATATACATAAATATATACATACATACATACACTATATATATATATATATATATATATATATTTATTGTGACAGTGTGGTGATCTGTCACCCTGGATTCTCAACAAGGCAGGTTGAGGGGCTCCAGGGTATGTGTTTGATACGGAGGAAAGTGGCTTTTCACTTTCCTCCTTTGTTTGTAAAGTCTGTTTTGGGATCTGGAGCCTGGAGATTTCAAAGAGGGGAGGGATGAAATCTCCAATCCTGGGACCAGGTTTTGGGAATGGCCAGGAGACTGATTGCACAGGTGTGTGCAGGCCTTTAGAGAGAGTCAGGACCAGGGTTCTGGGCTCCACCCCGGCAGACAAGAGTCAGGAGGGCTCCACCCCGGCAGACGGGAGGTCGCTGCCTTGGAGTCAGGTGGAAGCCAGACTAGCTGTGTGCTAGAAGTTTGCTGTGTGCAAAAGCAAACTCGTGGAAGGTGTCTGTAGGAGACATATATAAAGCGGGATATCTGAGAGAGCCAGAAGGCTGAGTATTATTTGCATTTGTGTGATGGTGGAAACCCCTGCGCGCGGGAAACCTTTATGTTACAGGACTTTCATTTAAATAAAAGTGGGCAAAAAGGCCCTTAAAAATAAGCGAGTTGCCGTGTGCTTTGAAGAAGCTCTACCACTAATCAGCGAGTTCCCACATATGGTGGAGGATGCGGGCAGAATTGGAGATCCCGGCGATTGAAGTAAGTTCATCAGTTATATGAACTGTTTGGTGCATAAGTCTGCACTGTGTGTGCAGGTGAGGAGAACCTGCTAGTGAAAAGGACTTTGCCTTAAAGAGACAGTGTTCCATGGTGTTGCTGAACTGTGTAACACACACTGCTGTGTGCATGACTGCAAAGATGGGGCGGTCAAAACAAAAAAGGAAGCAATGTTTGCTGAAGCGAGAGATAGAGCCCTGTGGCTAGGGAGTTATATACCGCATGCCCCAGCCAAGCCGGGAAATTTAGATGTGGGTGAGTCTGCTGTGGACTGGTGCAAGCGGCACCTGGCAGCATTGAACCAACCTAAAGAGGAAAGCAAGCCAACCTTCAGTACAAGGAGAGAGCTGCAGGATGTCCGTACCTGGGAGAGGGGTGTTGTTGCCCCTGGCAACGCTGCTGCAGTTAAACCAGTAGCTGTTGTGAAAAATGTGAATGTGTCACGGCTTGAGAGTTGGTCCAGCAGAGAGAAGCCTATGCTATGTGCAAGGAGAGGGGCTGACCAGAGGCCAGGACCAAGAGTGAAGGCCCATAGCAACACAGAGGAGGCCAGTCAGGCTGTCTGTGTACAGGGGGCAATGTCATACAAGGATCATGGCAAGTGGTATCAAGAGGAGCCAATACAGCGTGTTGGAAAGAGCCAGCAAAGTTCTGCTTGGAGAGTGCAATCTCCCATGGCGACCGGAGAAAAAAATATTGTCTGGAAGGAGGAGTTGCATTGGAGATGTGGCTCAGTATCCTAATAAAGAGAAGTGTAGAAATATACCCTGCGTGGAATGTGGTCAGTGGGGGCATGGGATCTTTTACTGTCCCAGACTCTGGAATACCGCTGATACTGGGCAAATGTCTACAACATCAAGCCCAGATTCTTGTTTGAAAATGTTGGCAGCCGCCTCTGGCAACAGGGAGGAAGTTCCTGTGGGGCCTGCAGGGGGTGCCAGAGAGTCCATGGAGCCTATGATGGTGTCTGTTACTTCACCTTGGGGCAAGGGAAAAGTTGCCAAGGAAAGTGCAGTTGAGGATGCGTTTATGAGACGACGCACTCAAATGAAGATGGCGACACCTACTACTGTGGTGGGTAAGACTGTGTGTGATGAAACCATGGCTGGGACTGTCATGTTGAGAAGGACTGGTTATGAGACTGTCCATTCTGATGTAGGAGTGACCCCAGTTAGTTGGGCCACTGAATGTGCTTTTGAAAGTGACTTTTCCCTGTGCAGTGCCTTGTACGGTGGGGAATTGGGGGTTAAAGTTAAACCTGTGCATGGTTCTCAAAAAGAAAGTGATGTCACGAATGTGTGCCAGTCACAGGTTGGTAGTAGGCTAGTACAGCCCACAAGAGCTACAAATGCTGATGATGTTGTTGTGAAATGTGCTGCTGTTGGGAAAACCCTGAGCTCTTGCAGTGCAAAAGCTGTAATTAAAGATGGGTCTTTTCCCATAGCAACTGGTGGTAAGACAGCACAGGTGTCCTTAGAAATCTCCAGGGGTCTTCGTGTATTGGAGTCGGAGGTTGCCCGGGACAACTGCGATGTCACTCTGGTGGAGCAGAGTGGAACTGCACCTTGTCATAGGAGTGTGTTGGTGCAATCCAACAATACTGGAAGTGTTCAGGTGAACAGCGGGTTAATGCAGCCTGGAAAAAATGCAAGTGTGTGGGTAATTCAGGAAGTATCACCAGAGCAAAGTGGTGGATGTGAGGTATTGCAACCTGCAGTGGGAAACCAGGTGTTACCCAAGTCTGATGTGATCCAGAGTGATTTGTGCAATGGATCTGCAACTAAGCCCGTCTATTCTTGTGTGTCTCCTTGGGCGGATGGATCGGTGCTGAGGAGCACTGACGAATTGAGCACATATACAATGGATTGGGATAGTTGGGGTAAAAGGCTAATCTCATTGATAGATGAGGTTTTTATGAAAAAAAATAAGGTGGACACTGTTTCTGCTGTGCCAGCAGGAGGATCTATAGAACAGTCTATAGATAAGGGCGTGCATACAGCAGAGACTTTGTCGGTGACCCACAAAAGTGATGTTGGCATGGAGTGTCAAAATGATGTTGTCACTGGGAATGATCAGGGGCAGCTTGTGGATGCTGAGTCTGAGATGTTGAGAGTGAGCCCAGCACATGGCAGCGCTCTGGTGGAGCACCAGGCTGTGGAGGAGGTCCCTTTAAAAATTTCAACTTCTCAAGTCTCAGCAGGTGAGTCTCTCAGCGTTCCCAGTGCCCTAAGTATGGTCAGGAAGGTCTTAGGTTTGGAGTCACGTGGTTGGGTTGTAACCAAAGTATTAAAGGAGATGCTTGAACTTTGGAATGTACAACCAATGTATATTGGGGTGTCTCCTCCACAGTCAGATGGTCTGGTACTGCGGAGTACCACTAGGTGGAGCACCGAATGGCTGGCTGTACATATCAAACGGGAACAAGAAAGTGGTTTATTTCTGAATTTGTTGATGGTGTTAAAAGCGGTATCAGGGTATGCCGCTGGATTACCTGTAAATGTGATATATGAGAAATGTTTTGGAGAAATGGAAAATGAGTCAAAGGTTTCACCTCCTAACAGCCAGGTGGGAAGCATTTCTGCTGCTATGGTCCAGGTTGGTGCTGGTCAGTTGTCAGTGAAGGGCGTGTTAATTGCACCAGTGGACAAACCACATGAGATGGAAGGGCCGAACATGGACCAGAGAACAGCAGAGATCCTGACCAGGGCTCAAATGGATGTGCACCAAGAAATCAGGGTCATTGGGCCAAAAAGAGATTTATGTAGCAGGTCTGATAAGACACCTGAAATACAGGGACAAATGGTATGTGAAAACTGGCAAAGTGGATCAAATGAGAGCTCATCTGTACCGGGTTTGGATACAGATCCAATTGGAGTAGAAATAGTTCCCCTACAGCCTTGGGACAGTAATACTGAGAGCGGTTTTAGGAAACCTTGGAACCTGAAGCAAAGGGGCAGAAAGGTCAATAGAAAGGCCAGGGGGACCCCGTTAAGATCTCAGGAGAGAAAGTGGTTATGGAAATGCACCCGGAAAAAGAATAGGGAAGGTCTGAGTAGAGCCCATAGCAGAGTGACAATGGGGCTTGGGGAGAGACACCAAAGGAGTCATTGGGTAGAGTTCCCCTTTAGGAAAGGTATGGTTAGACCAGATTGGACCCCTGTAAGTAAGAGATGGCACAGAGGTGCCAGAAGAGATAAGTTGTGTGTTCTGCCCCCTACGGGATCAAAACAAAGGGGGGGGATATGTGACAGTGTGGCGATCTGTCACCCTGGATTCTCAAAAAGGCAGGTTGAGGGGCTCCAGGGTATGTGTTTGATACGGAGGAAAGTGGCTTTTCACTTTCCTCCTTTGTTTGTAAAGTCTGTTTTGGGATCTGGGAGATATCTGAGAGAGCCAGAAGGCTGAGTATTATTTGCATTTGTGTGATGGTGGAAACCCCTGCGCGGGAAACCTTTATGTTACAGGACTTTCATTTAAATAAAAGTGGGCAAAAAGGCCCTTAAAAATAAGCGAGTTGCCGTGTGCTTTCAAGAAGTTCTACCACTAATAAGCGAGTTCCCACAATATATATATATATATATATATATATATATATATATATATATATATATATATATAAATAAATAAAACCTTTTTGTGATGTATTTACAATAAATAAAATAAACTAAATTAAAACATAATTCCTTTTTGCACAAAAAACATTTTTTTGAAGTGAATTGAGAGTTGCACTGGGTGATTATTTCTGTTTATTAAGGTAATGCACTAGATTTCGTATCTTTTTATTTTTGAGGTTCTTACTGGATGGAATAGAAGTCAATCCTTTTATTTGATGAAAAAGTTTGAAAATTTGGGACTTTTTTGGACATTGTTTGGACTTTCTTTTTGAGACCTTTATTGAACACTTTATGTTTTAATTTAGTTTATTTTATTCATTGTAAATACATCACAAAAAGATTATATATATATATATAGCAAATTTAACTACTCCCCTTGATATTTGGAGCAGTTTTTCATGGAAGATCTGTCTGCATTGATTGTGGATCAAAGCATTTTATATGCACAACAATTTATCGCCGCCAACCAAAATTCAAACCTTGCCAGACCATTCGCATGGAA